CCCCCCCCCCCCCGAAGCTTCTCGGACGACCACGCACCGGCTTCTCCGAGCCAACCCTTCGGACGAAGATAGCCGCAAGACCCTTACGTTCGCGCTCCTCCGTCTTTCTCCGTAGTGTCAGGCGGGCAGGGTGTTCCGCCACTGATCCGAACAGCCCCCCCCCTCGCGGTCTTCCCAACTCTCACCCTCGCTTAGCCTCGTCTTCTCTCCCGGAAACAGTCACCCTCCGAGGTAACGATCGCTCGGGATCCTCTCTCCCGCAGTCGGGCGACCCTCTCCCTCTCTTCCCCGGCTCTTCCCGGTACTGACTCATAATCGGACGCGACAGAGCGGTGAGCGCAACTCGAACCGATCGTGAGTGTTCGTGTTCTCCCCGTACTCGACTCGTACACCTCTCGTACTCTCTCGTTTGCTCCCCCCCGATCGAGTGTTGATGGGCTCTTAACGCCTTCCGCGCACGCCCTTCTCGATTCGTTGTAGTGCTACCGAGCGCCTGGCATGCGTAGTACGTGCACCTCCTTCGTACGCCCCTCGAACCTCTCTCTCTTTCTTTCTTTTATACCCTGCTCGTTGCTCTGTCTCTTGACTGCTTGATAATCCGTGCAACCAAAACTCAAAACTTTTCAGAAATTTTTATTTTCCGCCTCACCAACCACTTTCTCGTCTTCGATCCTTCCCTCATCCTCCTTTTCCAATCTCGTTCCTCGTTCGTCCCGGCGAACAGATCCATGTAGCGACTCGGCCTCCTTCTCTTTTCCTGCCTCCATGATCATCTTTCGGCTTGGTTCTTTGCTTCTTCTCCTCGGCGCCTAGCATTATTACCGTTAGCAAGGATCGACCAGCGAGTATTAACCGTTTTCCTCTGCCCCCGGCTAAGCCGCTCCCATCGATCTTCCCTCCTCTCTCTTAACTCGACGACGGTTCGCTCTCCTTCCCCCACAAATTTTCTCCCGCCCCAAAAGGTTTAGTGTCTCTTCTTCGGCCAGCGCGCGTTTGCTCCCCTCTCGCCAACCGTTTTGTGCGGTGGCCGAGCTCCCTTCTTCTGCCAAGTGCAGGCACCGGCCCCTTGTTCTCCTCGGTTCTTCTGCTGCCTCCCCCTCGTTGGGGCTTCCGTTGGACTTACTTCTGCTCGATCCTCCTTTTCCCACTCTCCGCCAATGCCCTTTTTCCCTAGGTACTCCGTTGGATTGCTAGTTCTATCTCCTTCCTTCTGACGAGCTCATCTTTCTTTTTTATCATACTCGGTCGACAGTTGCAGCTTGGGACTGATCGCTCCTACCCCCCCCGAATCCGCCATAGGGGGGGGTTCTGCCTATGCAACCTTGCCTCAGCCCTCGCTCCTTCTCCCTTCTCTTACTTCTCGATCCACTCTTCCCGTTCCCTTCCAAGGGGATCTCTCCCACACTCGTCCCTAGGATCGAGCTTGGATCGGTCTCCCCTCTTCTCCTTTCCCGTCGAGTAGAGCCCCCTATCCCAAGCTTTGCTTCTTGCGGTCTGTATCTTTTGTCCCTCTCGGTTCGTGTGCATCCGAAGTTGCTACCTCCCTCGTGTTCCTTTGGCTGTTGAAGAGCGAGCCCGCCGTCGTCGCTGAACAAACGGTTATCAAGAAGAACCAGGGAGCGCGCAGCTTGGTCGAGGGATTTACCCGATGGCCGTTAACAGTCCAATTCTTCTACGTTACGGTTGGCACCCGAGCAACACAACACTGAAGGTGCACGGGATCATACCCAACTGTTTTTTGGTCTCGATGTTAGGCCCGATAAAAAAAAAGAACGATTACTTTACCCAGGCCCTTATCGCTTCCTTCCGTCGACCAGCTCGTTCGTGCGGGGACACCGGTCCCTTACTAATCGCCGGTGTCTGATTATTATCTTACGGAGCCCACTTCGATCTTTGTCTCGCATCGTGGCATTCACCCTGGAATTGATCCCCGACCTGGATTGTTATCGGCTGATTACACCCTCCCTGGTCGAGCAGTTCCGAACTGTCGGTACTGATCATAACCTCGTGTCTCATCCGGGCCAGTCCTGCAGTTGTGCTCAGCGAGAGCACACGTTTAACTTCATCCCCCGTTCTTCATGGGCCTACCCTTAGCCACAACACTGGTCGTTTGCTCGTTGCTTTCCGTGAGGTGCGTTGAAATCTCCGATTTTTTATCCGCCCTTGGCTCCACTCATAACCCTGCGTTGACCGCCTTCATTCCTACTTGCTCCAACATTAGTACAAAATGAAAAAAAAAAAAAAATCCCCCCTATACCCCTCAGGCCCCATGCACTCACACACCCAATCATGCAAGAACGAAGGAAAGTGAGCCAAAAAAGAATCATGTTTGGTGGAAAGGGTGAGCTTGGCTGGTGGACAGCCGCCCGACACCGGCACAGGCGGCAACGGATAAGGAAGTTGCCCCCCCCTACCTTCCCCCACTCCTGGCCCCGCTCGACCCACTCCCACACCACATGACCGCGCCTCAATTCATCCTGCTTGTGCTGAGGTACATGCACAAATGGTGGTAGCGGGTCCCCTCTATGCCGTGTACTGGCGGATGCCATAGCTCCAAAAAGGTGACGGTGGTGCAGTGAAAGCACAACTACTGTCAGCAGCTATGCACTACTGTCGACGCACGCCGGTTCAGCCTATACTCTGCAGAACGTCGACTTGTCTGCGGCTGCTCCTTAGAACGTCGACTTGTCTGCGGCTGCTGCATGGAAAGAAAAGAAGGAAGGGAGAACAATTAGAAATGACATCCTGTACGGATAAAATGTGTGTTGATTGAACTTCATTGATTGATTGATTGATTGTTTGATTGATCTTCTACTCCTTCATGTCCTCCATCTCCTCCAACTCCATCTCCTCCTCCATCTCCTACTTCATTTCCTCCTCCATCTCCTCCTCCATCTCCTCGTACTCCATCTCCTCCTGCATCTCGTACTCCATCTCCTCCTCCATTTCCTCCTCCATCTCCTACTCCATCTCCTCCTCCATCTCCTCGTACTACATCTCCTCTTGCATCTCGTACTCCATCTCCTCCTCCATCTCCTTTTCCATTTCCTACTCCATCTCCTCATCCATGTCATCCTCAATCTCCATGCACTCCATCTCCTCAATCTCCTCCTCCATCTCCTACTCCATCTCCTACTCCATCTCCTCCTCCTCCATCTCCTCCTCCTCCATCTCCTCCTCCATCTCCTACTCCTCCTCCTCCTCCTCCTCCATCTCCTACTCCATCTCCTCCTACTCCATCTCCTCCTACTCCATCTCCTCCTACTCCATCTCCTCCTACTTCATCTCCTCCTCCATCTCGATGATCCCGTCCTCCTTCTCCTACTCCATCTCCTACTCCATCTCCTACTCCATATCCTCCTACTTCATCTCCTCCTCCATCTCGTCCTCCATCTTGTCCTCCATCTCGTCC